AAAATAGGAAGCCAAATAGTTATCTCTTCCACGCGTGCGCGCGCACGCGTGAAAGAGATAACTATTTGGCTTTCTATTTTTTTGACATAAATATTCGAGCGTACACAAGTTAATTTATACTTCGGTAAAATAGTTTGAAAATCCACATGAAAATTAAACCACAAGAGATAAACTTGTGCAATAAAAATCGATCGAGAAAACGTGCAAGGACTAGTACCTCGAGCAATGAGCTCGATGAATATCATGTAAGACATTTGGAACCTTAAAATTATCTGATCAACCAACTCTAACACCTTTTTGAAAAATTCATATAATATTATTCGCCGAATTGCAAATTCGAAGAAACCTTTAATGGAGTGCCCGACCCAAAATAGGCCAAATTAAGTTTAGATAGAAACAACAATTATCATTTGAAAGAACTACTCATCAACCAACTCGGTCACCTTTTAAGTAATTCATACAATGTTATTCACCGAATCGCAAAATCGAAGAGACCTTTAAATGGAGTGACCCGACCCGGAATAGGCCCAATTTAGTTGAGACAAAAAAAAACCCCAAATTAACCTCAAGCCCAATAATTATTTTCATCAGTGCCACCAAATCTTCTTCTTCCTCTGTTTCACCTTCATCAAAACTGGAAAAAACTCTTTTTTTCTTGAATCTAACAGAGACCACCAATTTCAATGGCACTTTCTGCTCTTTCACCTACTTTTTCTACAAACCCTTCTGCATCATCAACCTCTTTATCAAAAACAAGAAGAATCACCCAAAAAAATCCCAAATTTAGTGTCTTTACTACCCCTAAATTCACTCCAATTTCAGCTCTTTCTGATCCATATGTCCTTCAAATAGCTGAAACACTTGAAGATTCATTACCTTCTACCTCTTCTACACCACTTCAGAAGTTAAGAATCAGTTCCTCAGACACCCTTTTGTCAACCCCTTGGCCATCTCGTAAAGATGAGCCTTTTAGATTCACTGACACTTCTTTTATCAAGAATTCAAGAATTGAGCCAATTCAACCTCCATCTTTGAGTTCTTTGGATGTTTCTGTAGATACCCTTTTGCCTACACTTTCAATTGTTGATGGTTATATAATGGATTCTTTGTCTCAGTTGAATGAATTTCCTAGTGGGGTTTATGTAGGTAGTCTGTTGAGGGTAGATTCTGAGGCTATATTGAAAAGGGTGTCTGAATATGAGTTCAGTTCTAAAGGGGATTTGTTTTGGTTACTTAATGGTGTAGGTACCCCTGATGTAGTACTAGTGTATGTGCCAGAAGGGTGTAAGGTTGAGACTCCATTGTTATTGAGGTACATTTCTGTTGAAGGTAGTGATAAAGAGTCAAAAGCTTTGCCTTTTTCGAACCCGAGGGTGTTGGTGTTGGTGGAGAAGGGAGGTGAGATTAGTATAGTTGAAGAGTATGTGGGTGGAGATACGGATAAATGTTACTGGACGAATTCCGTTATGGAAGTGGTTGTTGGGGAAGGAGCAAAGGTGAGCCATTCTTACATCCAAAATCAATCTTTCAACGCGGCACATATCAAGTGGACTTGGGTTCAGCAGGTAAACTTGCTCTTCTTTTTTAACTAAAAATGACCTTGATAGCACACATTGTTCGAGTATTTCTGTAAAAGTATCTCATCTATTGGTAGTTTTATGCAACTATCTAAACTGAAAAGTCGTTATTGTTCTTTGCTTCATCGCGAAAGACAATTTTAACTAATACACGAAGGTCGCTATGGTTTATTCATGTAGGAGAAGTAGAAAATAATATAGGCTTTCACATTAGAAAAAGCTCAAGGAGTTCTTAGAATTTCTAATTTGATACAATGCACCTTTAGTTTTGGTGGAGAACTTGTGATAACTGAATATCTCAATGATATAAAAGATTGGGGATCGTAAATTCTCTACGTTTTGGTCAACTGTTTTATCACTGGACATTTTTTTATTTTAATAAAATTATCTACCGTATAAAAGAAGAAATAAAAAAATAGGGGATATAGAACGATTTGGTCAAGTTGTGAAGACAACAGAATGCCAGTTAGCTACTTCGTTTTTTCTTCACTATCTTGATCAGCTCCTTTTTTTGCTGTCCCTCTCGATACTTAAAACGGGTTCTCTGCTCGTTTTGTTACAAATCAATGGCCTCTGAGGAGTGATGGTAGTTGTAAGCATTGTTCTCTACTTCATCATTTCTAGACAACTGCTTCCTTCTGGCCTCTTAAGCAGTCCCCTTCAGGCCTGTCATGTACTAAAGCTGGCAAACTCCGTCTAACTTGTTGGACAGTGTCCCTTCCCTTCAGCAAATTAGATTAGTGACTAGGTTTGGCTGGCCATTCAAGAAAAATTGAGTTCCTCAAAATAGGTTGCTCGATGTCACGTGGATTTTATAGAAGTCTAGTCCGTAATACACAAAAGATGTTACATTTCACTCTTGAAATGTCAATACTACAGAAGATAAAATGCAATAAATCTTCTGAGGTACTAGAATGCACTCCTCTGGTTTCAAGTTTTCCTCAAGCTTCTCAACCTGAAACCAGGAAATACCACGTTATCTTTGGGTCTATGTAATTCTGTGCTAAACTTCAACCTTGTATATGCTTGAGAACCTGATATTGCTGGATGTCCGAGTGAAATTCAAATACTTTCTCTCGCTCTTACATCGTATTCTTGAGATCCGTTACCTGTTTCTATGTACTTACAACAAATAGACTTGTAGAATAGCAATGTTAATATCCAATGAGTTCTTTGAGAATTCACAATATTGAAATGACATACAACAAATAGACTTGTAGAATAGCAATGTTTATATCCAATGAGTTCTTTGAGAATTCACGATATTGAAATGACATACAAGTTTCTGCAAACAAAAGTTGTATCAGCCAATTCAAGGAACCTTATTGTTGAGGCTTTCGGACTCAAATTGCTGTTGCTGCCTCATCTTGTTCTCTAGCTCTGAAACCTTTACAAAAGTAAAAGTAAAATCAGAATAATATGCAAAGCCGTACCATATTAATCTGTAGTTCATAGAACAAAGCTCAACCATCACGTGTGAATAACCTAAATATGACTTGATTGAAGTAACCTTCTGTTGCAGACAGGCACAAGCTTCTTCCTGCCCCTTCGTCCTCTCTGAAAGCTGTGAAAGTTGTTTCTCTATTTGGCCATGTAATTTATGTCTTTAAGTTGAGCTGGTTTCGCAAGTTTCTTAATCTTTCCTGTTGGTTTTGTTAACGTGCTTCTTCCCCTTAGCCTTACACTCAAAGTTCTGTAGGCTTTCCTCAAGCTTCTTCAGGGTTCATATTTGGATGTGGCTTTGTTCCTTGCTTCGTCTAGCTGCCACAAAACGCAACAAAAGCAAAAAAAGGAGAGAGATTACATTAAGTGGTTGAGTAGCATTCTAGACCAAAAAATCTTGTAGGCAAAAAAAGGGAAACAACACTTGGAAAAGAATATGCATGTTAAGAGATATAGAGACCATGTAAATACAATGCTTGGAGAGCCTTGGCACAATGGTAAAAGTTATCACTGTGCAACCAGGAGGTCATGGGTTCAAGCAGGGAAACAACCTCTTGCAGAAGTGCAATCTGCAATGTAACGTTTCCATACATAAGAAGCGATGTGGTCCGGCCATTCCCCGCACCCCATGTATTTTGCAGGACCTTAGTCCACCAGGCTGCACTTCTCGAAAAGGAAAATACTTATTAAGAGATTAATATCAAATGGCACCAATTCCTTCTTCACTCATGGATCAAACTCAAGTTGTTTCCGCATGGCTTTGTGTTCCTTTCTATGTATGTATTATACAGAACATCCATGAGATGTGGTCATTATATAGATGATGCTGTTATGGACCTTGATAATTAACTCGTCTTGTCTTGGTGATACTGTTATTTTTTAAGAGCAATTTTTGTTTGAGCTGTGAAATATGAATATCACTCCCTGCTTACTGTCTCTTATCTATTGGTTCTAATTGTATGTAGCTTATTGTAACCTTTCCCACCATGAGCAGAGTTAGTGAAGGAAGAGTATACTTTTTCTGTTCCAGGAGATGGATCTTATTAGTAGCTTTAAGCAATTTGTGAGGAACTTCTGAAATATTTTCAGTTATTTTATTTATGTCTTTTTGGCAGATTAAGTTTGCTTCATAGTCTAGTTCATTACTTTCAGGAATCAACTAGCAAATACGAGCATATAGAAGTAAGCACTGGTGGGAAGTTAAGCAGGCACAATATTCACATCCAGCAGGTTGGTCCAGACACTGTTACTGAGTTATCGACGTTTCATATGTGCATCTCGGATCAAACACAAGATCTACACAGTAAGTTAGTCCTAGATCATCCACGAGGTGTCTCTCAGCAGATCCATAAGTGCATTGTGGCCCATTCGTCTGGACAGGCTGTTTTTGATGGAAATGTTCAAGTCAATAGGTATTGTTATTCTATCTTACCTTTGGTGTTTATTTTAGCACCTCGTTATTCTACAAATCACCAGTATTGAACATTTAAAAGTACTCGTATTGTTTCGTTAACATGTTCTAGATATCGTCATAGTCTGTTCCAGTTCATGTTTGCTTGTGTCTTTCTTTTAAAATGTCTACGGATCTTAAGAAAAATGTCGTATGCACATGTATGTGGTGAAACTTTTTCTTGAAAGGGTCCCAATGTTACTTCGATCAAATATACTTTTACTATTATTTCGCTCTAGTATAGTCTAGTCATTTCTTGGTTTATTGCTCTGCAATCTAGTAAAACTAAAGCAACTTATTAAGATAGTGCAAGGTTGAACAAAAGTTGCATATGCCATCCTTGACATATGTGCAAGATAGCAGCCTCTAGAGTCTAGTCAACTCTTGCTTTTTTGGTGGTCAATGTATGAGATGTCTTTTGCTAGCTGTGGTCCTCAAATACCCTTGTTTTTCTTGACTCTTCCTTCTTATTCTGCCCATGTTGAGCAGACAGTGGTACTTCACGACGCTTTTCTTAACATACTAACTGAACCTATGATAAGTACCTGTATGATTGTATCTGATAGTCAAATGGTCCATGTGACATACCAGATCAGCATCTTATAATGACCTTTTCAATTTATTCCTTTTTCAGTCGGGTAATCATTAAAAGACAACCTGGTGGTTCAACTATTGGAAGTTTTGTCTTATCAATAAGAGATGTAATGCAAACTTAGGAGAAACTTCACCTTATTTCCTCCTCTTGCTTGGACTCTTTGGAAATGTCTCTTGCACCTGTGTCTGATCCTTAAAAGATGCAATACTTTTGGAGGAGTTCAGACGTGCACCTGATGACATTTTTGAAAAGTCCAAGCAATTGAGGGACACCAGCTATTGGAAGTTTGTCAACAGGACATGTAGTGCAAACTTAGGAGAGTTCATACGGGTTGTCTATGGTTTTGATTATTGTTTATCTAGTGTGTAAGATTTTCATGTGTATGTAATTTTAAATGATGTTGCAGATATGCGCAGCAGACAGATGCAGGACAACTTACACGAAGCCTCCTTTTGGAGCCTCGGGCAACTGTGAATGTCAAACCTAATCTCCAAATCATCGCTGATGATGTCAAGTGCTCCCATGGTGCTGCAATCAGTGACCTCGAAGAAGACCAACTGTTTTACTTCAGGGCACGGGGTGTTGATGCTGAAACTGCCAGAAAAGCTCTGATCTTTTCGTTTGCAGCTGAAGTAGTAGACCGTTTCCCTAATGCCTCGATTAGGAAGAAAGTCGAAACACACATTAGAGAACTGCTCGATCCCTCACGCCCTTCACGGTGAGCCTTCTTGAAATGTGGCACATTTTTTCTTCTGATAATGAATGGAAGCCCCTCTTTTACTCAACAAATATAAGCAGTTGTTCAGTGTAATGTAATTCTTTTCAGTATTGAAGAAATAAATATGGTGATGTTTATTTGAAAACCTCCATTGTCTGTACCAAAAGATGTATCTTTTTTAAGACAGTGGAATTGTTTGATAGGAAAGTGCTTTATAATTTTGCACTGATGAGATGGTCACGCGATTCAAAATTTGATGAGATGGTCACGCGATTCAAAATTGTATCTGAGCAAGTAAATGTTCATCGCACATTGTTATCATAAATTTTCTTGTGTTTGGCTCATGAGAAAAGAATCAAGCTCACACATGCAAAGACGTGTTAAGATAACAATAGGTTATCTTTATGATAAAAACTTTTAAATGAAATGATCACACGCTGAAACAACAACGAAAAATGACTTGTTTCATCCAACTAAGCAATTTCATCTTTAACTAAATAGAAACACATCAGTTAATCATCATATATGTACTAAAGAAAAACACATTACGTACATTCATTGGTTTGATAAAAACACTAGATACGAGTAATCAACATAAAAAGAAATGTACCTTTTCCCTTTGCCCCATTCTGTAAAAACCTTTTTTACACAAGGGTTCAACAAGAATTCTCTCTTCTGTAAAACCACATTGGTGGAAATCCACCTCCAAAATAAATATTTATCCCCTATAGATTACAAATAACTTGTTTGGCTCTAAAAGGGTAGATGAGATGGGAGGGGAAAAAACAAAGAAAGAAAAAGAAAGAACTTGAATGAATGAAAAGATCTACTATGCAAAATCTAAGAAGAAACTAAATGAAAAGATCCAGTTTCTTTCTTTTCTAGGAGCAGTTCTGAGCAATCCAAACTACAAAACTTCTACTTTCACGAGGCCTTGTCGTATATCTAGCACTAGTTCTGGTTGTTGTCAAGGGTATAACCGGAGCAAAGAGATCAAAATTGCTGCATATCTATACATGGAATAGATCGCCGGAACAGTAACATTAGAGGTATTTCCCAGACGACTTCCAAATTCTTCCTTCGAGAGATACCACCATAACTGTAACATCATCGTGGTACTTCCTACGATCTCCTTGGGGGATGTCCAGTAATTCATGAAAATCCATTCCTGCAGATAAATTGAACCTTCGGTTATAAACATGTAGTTTTGCCTGCCCTCAACTGAAACAAAGAGGCCCACAAAGTTTTACCAAAACCACAAAGACACAAAATGAACTGGTACAGAAACACGATGCCACAGTATGGAGAACACTGAACTTGTCTCGAGTTACTTAAAAGGAATGGTTTTTAATCAGACCAGTTGCTTTTGGAAGGTAGGGGATGTCTGTCAAACCTAAAGAGACCGAAAAAGAAGGCACACAACTTCTTCAACTTCAGCATAGCCAATACAATCAGCAATATAGCGCTCAAAACTTCGGCTACTTATTAGTGCAGCCAAATATGGAACACAGACAACATTGTAGTGCTAGCACCGCATATAACCTCGGGAAGAAGTATCTATTACACCCTTAGGGGTGGCCCAGTGGTTTGGGATTGGACTTCCATGTAGGAGGTCTCAAGTTCGAAACCCCTTGCCAACGGAAGCAAGGGATTTGCCTTATGGGTCGAGCTCGTCGCACTGGGCTTGCGTAGTACGGGTTACCTCTCCTATGTGGTTTGAAGCTATGGCATAGGAGCGGGGGTTCTACCCCGTGCGCACCCAAAGGGTAGCGGCTGCAGGTTTCCCTTGTCATAAAAAAAAAAGAAGAGAAAGATCTATTACTAGGAATGCATGACTTTCCAATTATTTAAAGATCTCAGTCCTGCAGCACTAAAACTATTATTCTGATTTGTATCTACGTTGACTTTTGGGTAAGATACAAACTTAGATAATTGGAAATCCACAAACTTAAACATCAAGTAGTCTATTTCTACTTCATGGTTCAAATTACAAAGCTTTTCTAACCTTTCATTGCCAAAACGTTTTTAAATGGCATATCTAAAACTTAAATGATTGTGGTTTGCTAGAAATGAACTAGCAGTGATGATATTATTTCATAGTAACAGTTATTTTTTCAAAAAAATGGTAATGTTAGTAGAAACAATCATTTTGTAGTAACAACTGTTAGGTGATATTTGAGAAGGATAACAGCATATGATCGTTTTAACATTCCTTAAAGCAGGGAATTTTTCAATTCATACGACAAAAAATATTCAAAATGATGAAATAGGCCAACATAGATACAAAGACTTCACACAGCCTATCTCTAATTTGGGATTGAGAAAAAAGCTTCAGCTTTTATGAGAAGGAAACTGCTAGTTAACTCATCAACTTCTAGATGTTCAGGTACCAAATACAAAATTGTACTAAATTAGAAATATAAGGACAAGGACACCAAGTCTGAAAAATTTAAATGAACTTCTCACATCAAAAACTCAGGGTATGCAGCCAAAGTCAACAGTAACTTAATCCCCTTAACTCCCCACAGAATGACTAGAAAGAAAATGTACCAGCTTTTTTGGCTGCACGAAATAAGAGCTCCTCAATCAGATGCTGAGCAGGATCCCCATCCGGAAATTTCTCCATGAAATTCTCAACATGACAAACAACCTCCTGATTGCTCAAATATTGGTATAAGCCATCAGAAGAGAGCACCAAAAACTGATCTCTAGGACAGAGTTTATGATGTCGCAGAGAAGGTGTACAAGATAGATAAGGAGCATCCCCAATATATTCGTTCCGAAACATTTCTAGCAATGGCTCATTCAGTTTAGGCTGCATCAGCACATCTCAAAATATTAGGCTGACTGGAAGCATGTCAAAACAGAATACAAGTCTACAAGCTACACATGCAAAGAGCCACATCAACTATTTAAAGCATGATACCACCCAAGTTAGTATATGTCTGGCGAACTTGCATGTTCAGAGTAACTATAGGCAAAAATAAACAGTAATTGCTAAGGCAAACAGTAGTTGTTCATCCCATCTTCCAGATATCCATAGATAAACTTAATCAAATCAGAAAAAAAACATACAGGCCAGTATATCTGGCATATCAATTATGTAATGGCACAAGATGGAAATAGACCAAAAGAAGGTCTTCTGGTGCCATAACTTTTAATATAAAACAAGGACCTGAAAAAGTAAATGTGCAAGTTGATCCAGCATCTGCAGATCTTTGGGATTGCAAGCGGGTATGGAGAAAGAAAAGCAAATGACAAACCTTTTTAAGGAAGCCCGCTCCAAAAGCACGAGTGACCTTTAGACGACCTTTCACTCTATCATTAACAATGCAGTTGCTGTCATCTGGGTGTTCATTCTTAATTCTAGTAACTTCCTGGAGATTGTTTCAAGAAACAAACTGTCTAAGAACCTGACTGATTAGAATACAAACACAGAGACATATAACAAGCAATAGACAATTAAATGTTACAGGTTTCAGTATGTAAGGTAAGATTAATTCAAATTATCTGCCTTATTAATTTAGAAATAATTTTAACTTTGAATTTTTCATTTTACCCTAGATGAAGTGATTTATCGTCACAAGTATCAATGGCTTGTTTAGGCCACAAGTTTTGAAAGTTTCTGTTTTTTTCTTCAACACCCAAACATAGCATAAGGGAGTACATTCATAACATTTTTTAACAATTATCTACAAGATTACCGAGTAAATTTACTGTCTAGTGTTGCTTTTTAGAGACAGCTCATGTGTAATGAGGCACGCATCTTAGTACCTTGGTGTCTACACTAAAGTGACACTTAAGCAAGGTGAAGCACAACCTAGGTTTTGACTATATTAACATTAGGAGCGGAAGCTTTCATTCGGACGGAAACAATGTCAGATAGAATACTGGCTATTCTCCCAGCCTCAACTCGGATGGGAAAAAATGTCAGACAGAGTACTTGCTACCTCCCACTCACCGCTGTCAAGGGCTTGTTTTGTTTTTAAGATAAAACAGCTCACCTTTCTTATAAAGGTACTTGTTGCCCTCCCACTACCCCTTCACTAAGCCTTCTGTGATGTGTCTATTACTCCGATATAACAGCTCCCAACAGCAACCAAGCTGAGGCAAAAAGTTAATTGATTTTTTCACATCTCAGTCTTGAGAGCAGAATTGCCCAAGTACATGTACTAGGGTATGCTCGCAAACACTTCCTGTTCCAATTCCAAATATCCAGCCAAAGGTAATGGTTATGTCAGGGTTTAGACTGGTCAGAATTATGAGTGGTGGCATCGCATGTGAAGGGGTCCACAGTAGTGGTCTGGTGTAATTGGTTATAGGTGTTACGACAAATAGTTTACTCGACAAATAGCCAGAGCAGTGAACTACAACTATCATCTGCGGCAAGTTACACAAAAAGAGCAGAAGATCCACTTGTCTTAGCAGAGTCAAGTTGGAGTCATTACTCATAAAACAATATTTAGCACTTATTGGTTCAGTTAAGAAGGCCCAAAAACACAAGATGCATAAAGCTTCTTGTAAATGTTACATGAAAATGAAGATGTGCAACAAATCTGTTTTACTTCTTTCACTTATACCACCTCATCCTCTTCCTAGTGCTTTTTTCTTTCCCTTGTGTTTTAGCTTTGTTTTGCAGGAGTACTAAAACAGGTGCATTGCCTCCTAGTTCATGGAATCATCAAAGTAAATGTCTAGTTGAACACTCACTAACCAATAAACCATTCAGATGAAAATGATCAACTCCTCTGGCAGAAATAGATTCGCTATAACTTAACAATAGACAAGGACATATTCTAGACTAACCACAAGTCCTTTACTTGGGCAAACAACAATATGAAGTAGCTTTGCATATAACTAAAGCTCTGACTTAGAGATCTCTTTGCTTCAGAAGTTCCTATCTAGAAATGATATCCTGATGAAATTGCTTAACCTACTACACTCAATGATGTCAACCAGTAAGCCATTATTGAGCACAAGGGGAATTGTGTTTCAGGCCAGTAGATAAATGAAACAGCTTTTAAGTTACATTAGTTAATCAACTTGAAATTTAACAACTTTTACTAAGCAAAATTTTATTTAGTACTTAGAAAAGTACCAAACTTCTCAATTCTTACTAAATTATCAAACTTCAAACATGGAATGAAGCACCAGAAACAACCAATTGACAAATAATAAAGAAACAAAGGACGCTTACTTCCTCAATGCTGGTGCTGTGATCAGTAGACA